AGTTTATTCTATTTCAAATTGCTCCTGAGTATAAACAGCTGAGGATCTATTAAAAAATAAAAACAAAAACTGAATACATTGTGTAATGATAAATATAGTCATTATCCTAATTCGAGCATTACATTTGAGTACCCCACAGATATGTACAATAAATTATGTTTCAATAAAAAAATTAAATTAAATACAAGTAGCAGTGTTGCAAGAATCTTTAACTGTAATAAAGTAATGATAGAAATAATAAAGAAATGGCACATTTTGTCATGTAAAAAATAGCATGGTATGTAGGGAAAACAGGATCTAGATTGAACTTACAAGTTAAACAAAACAAACAATGACATCATTATCTTCATCATCATCATCATAATGTTACCATTGCTGTAAACGTAATAATTGACACTTTAATCATATTATGTGACAAAAATATTTTTCACTGCTTTACATATAGCAATTTATTAGATCACACAATAACTATCAAGAAAATGCCATTATTATCCTTGTTTACACATTAAATTTCAAAAAGAAAATTACATAAAATTATGTAATTGATATATGATATAACCAATACTTGAACGTAACTTGACAGTCATCAGAGACTATTATTTTAATTGCTAAATACAAAGAATCGTGTATAGTAATTTTTTTTAAAAATTGATCCTTTTACAAACAGACCAGGAGAGGAAGTCAAGGCTGTAAATGAGAAGCTAGAAAACTACCTCCTAACTAGCCAGCCAGCCCCATGATGCAGCCTCAAGTAGTCATTACAAGCCTCACACTGCTCCTGACTGATGCTGTAGTTTCTTATCCACAGAAAGTAAAGCAGAGGGTGAGCCTGTACTGCTACCCTGCACCTCGATGGGTAAAGGAGCAGTCACATCCATGTACTGAGAACAAGCAACATGTCCTCTGTCTCAATGCTCAGATGAAATTGAGTGTACTAATGCATACCATGTCATCTTTCAGAAGCACATGTACTTTAATATAAAGGGGTACCTTTTGAAAGGGATTGGGTCTTTGACCATAGAGAATGCAGCTAAGGCAGACAGTGGCCTGTATTATTGCCACATTGAGCACAAAGGGTGATTTAACAATATGAAATACACCCTACCATTGGATATTAAACCAGCTGGGGACACCAATGTTTCAACATCACCTAGGGTCCTTTATCTGTGCTCCAACACCATCACCATAATCACACACCAGAACCACACAAAAGTAGCTACTTCACCTTTCCAAAATTCAGCCTAAGATGGTGCAGGAAACAAGAAAGAAACGACATGCTAGTTCACCATTGCACTCTTGCCCAACGATTGGGAATGGCACTGTTACAGCCTTCAGGTGGTATTTGGCATAACAATCAAACACATGTCTCTAGCACAAAATTCACGGATGATCATAGCTAAAGGACTCTGTTGAAATCAGTAT